CCCGAGATATTATGATTCCAAGAGATTAAAGGTGCACATATTAGTAAGATGGTCAATGGTCAAACATTTAGACTTTAGTTAGCCAAACAAGGAGGTTGGCAAACGGTGAAAGTGAAACAGAAACCAAAGCCCAAAAATCTACCGTCTCCCTCCCTGTTCCACCGTTTGTAATCGTCCTGAATCCCGATGTTCGCTCACGGCTCACCGTTGTTTGCCTGACCGCCTCACTGCCTGGCTGCCGTCGACCGCCATTCCAATACCAGCGGCTGTTCCTCTCTCTTTACTCAACTTGACACTTGATAGCTTCTATCTCTCAATCTCAAATCTCAATCTCTATTCTCTCAAGTCTCAACTCTCGAGGTTAATTTCTACCAAAACCTAACTTTGCCCTAAATTTGTTCTTTATGATTTTGCAACAATTTATAGTATTAAATGTTTATCAGTTAGTTATTACTTATTAGTCAATTCCTCAATTTGTTTAATTGTTTGTCCTAAAATTACATGATTGATAATTTACTTTTTTGCCCTAAATTTGCTTAATTAGTAATTGTTATCATCTTATTGATATGATTTATTTGTTTGCCCTAAATTGTTTTGATTAGTTTTGATATGGACAAATTTTTAAAAAGAAAAGCTCCATCGTAATCGGGTGCAATTACCCCAACCCTTTGTCCGATTTACTAATCCGGATAATACAACAACTTGTCCGATTTAACAATCCGGATAACATTCCCTTGAAGCCTTGTCCGTTTTACCAATCCGGACAACTCTCAAAACCTTGTTCGATTTAAAATAAACTGGTCATATCTTGGTCATATTCCTACTTATCCGTTCAATATCTTTAAGCGATTTATAAAACTCATATCCTACTAACACTTAAATTGCTTGACTTTGTGTTCGATTTAAAGCTACACCAGACAACAAGCGTCTGATTTAAACTTAAACTACTCAACCCTTTGTCTGGTTTAACCTTAAACCGCTCAACACTCATCCGATTAAACTTAAACTTAAACCCGGTGAAATGTTTTTAAAACACTATCAATTATACAATTCGAAGAAATTCAAAACATTTTAACCACTCACCTTATTTGAAAACCAACTTCTTGAAAATCAACTTGATCTCCAGTCAATAAATAATCCGGTCAATCTCTCTTTCTTTAAATCGCCCAATCAAGGTCTCAAAATAACAAGAAGAATGCAATGGAGGCTTAACCTCCCTTTTTATACCCTTCCCAAACAGGAAGGCGGGTAACTCACATTCCCACATGCATGCATACATACACCATGCATATATGTTCATATATATACACACACCCATTTCATGCACATATATCATGCATACATATAAATATATAACATATGCATTTCATATTATGCATATAAATTCATATGCATAAAAATTCACATACTAGCATGATCAAATATAACAATTTATCATACTATCACGTAATCATTTAACAGATATCCTTGTATTAATTACCTTAGGTGATAACCAGGATCTGGTTATAACATTATCCACCCCTCAAAAGAATTGTCCCGAAATTCCTTTAATCAAATAGCCACGGATACTCTGATTTCATTTTCGATTCCAATTCCCAAGTTGCTTCTGACCGTTTGCGAAACTTCCATCGTACATTAACCAAACTGATTTTTTTGTTTCTCAACACCCTGATTTTTTGGTCAATCACGGCTTCTGGTGTTTCCACAAAGTTCAACTTATTATCCAGTTTAATATCTGAAGTGGTACAACCAGACTCGAATCAGCTAAACATTTCCCCAAGTTCAATACATGGAATGTATTATGAATCAGACTTACTTCTTCTTGTAGCTCTAACTGATATGCTACTAGCTCAATTCGTTTACATATTCTAAACGGCCCAATATACCTCGGACTAAGCTTACCTTCTTTCCAAATCTGATAACACCTTTCCATGGAGAAACTTTTAACATCACAAAATCACCTACACAAAATTCAATCGGCTTTCAACGATTATCAGCATAACTTTCTTTCGGTCTTGTGCTGTTCTGATTCTTTCACGAATTTGTTCAATCTTTTCAGATGTCTCTTGAACAATCTCAGGACCCGTCAACTGCCTTTCTCCTACCTCATTCCAACACACCGACGTTCAACATTTACGTCCATACAAGACTTCATACGGTGCCGCTTGGATCCTGGAATTATAACTGTTATTGTACGTAAACTCTATTAACGGTAAATGATACTCCCATGATCCCCCGAAGTCTATGACACAAGTTCTCAAAATATCTTCGAGAGTCTGGATAGTCTTTTCACTCTGCCCCTCAGTTTGCGGATGATAGGTTGTGCTTAGTCGAATTTCAGACCCCAGAGCTTTCTGCAAACTTTCCCAGAACTTTGAAGTGAAACAACTATCTCTATTAGAGATAATAGATAGTGGAACACCGTGCCTGGTTACATTCTCTTTAATATGAACATGAGCTAGCTTTTCTAAAGAGTAACCCTCTTTTATAGATAGAAAATGCACAGATTTAAATAGACGATCCACAATTACCCAGATCGTGTCATACCCCTTAATTTCATGACGAAATCCATTGTAATGTGATCCGACTTCCATACAGGAATTTTCAAAGATTGAAGACTTCCATACGGCTTTTGATGCTCAATCTTAACCTGTAGACATGTCATACACTGTTCCACATATTTGGCTATGTCCCTCTTCAATTCGGGCCACCGATAAAAAGGTTTCAAATCCCTGTACATCTTATTGGTACCTGGATGAATAGATTATCGGGAATTATGGATTTCATTTAGGATAACTTTCTGGATATCCCCAAAACACGGTACCCAAATTCGCCCTTGAAAGCACATAATTCCTTTATTGTTCGGTTCTAAAGTCGAAATCATCTTACCCAACCTTTCTGATTTGATAAAATCATCTTTCTGATATCTTAGAATTTCTTTATGAATATCAGGGACTAAATTTATTCTCATTGCCACAGTTTTAATAGTCCCATTCCTTTCCTTTCAACTTAATGCGTCAGCTACCATATTGGCTTTCCCTGGGTGGTAGAGGATTTCATAATCATAATCATTTACAAGTTCAATCCACCGACGTTGTCACATATTCAGTTCTTTCTGGTTGAACAGATGCTAGAAACTTTTATGATCAGTATAGATCTGACACTTTGTTCACAGAAGATAATGTCTCCATATTTTCAATGCAAATATCACCGCTGCTAATACCATATCATGAGTTGGATACTGTTTCTCATGATCCTTCAGTTGCCTTGACGCATAAGAAATCACCCTTCCTCTCTGCATCAAAACACATCCCAATCCCAATTTAGAAGCATCGCTGTATACTACAAAATCTTTTGATCCGTCTCGTAAGGTCAATACTGGTGCACTACAAAGATGATATTTTAATTGTTGGAAAGCTTCTTGCTGTTCTTCCTCCCACTGAAATTTGACGTTCTTCCTAGTCAATTTGGTTAATGGCACGGCTATCTTAGAAAAGTCTTGAATGAACTTACGATAATAGCCTGCCAATCCCAAAAAGTTTCAGACTTTAGAAGGAGTTTTCGAAGCTTCCCACTTTTCAACTGCTTCTATTTTAACTGGATCTACTTTCACCCCTGCTTCTGATATGACATGACCCAAAAACTGAACTTCCCTTAACTAGAACTCATACTTGGATAATTTTAAATACAGTTTTTCTATTTTCAGTAATTCCAATATCAGACGAAGATGTTCTACATGCTCTTCTTCGGTTTTAGAGTATATGAGAATAACATCGATAAATACAACAATGAATTTATCAGGATATTCCTTACATAACCTATTCATTAAATCCATGGAGGCTGCGGGCGCATTAGTTAGGCCGAATGGCATAACTAGAAATTCGTGATACCCGTACCTAGTTCGGAAAGTTGTAGCAATGTCTTCATCCCTGACCTTTAGCTGGTGATACCCCGACCTTAAGTCGATATTGGAGAATGAACTTGCTCCTACCAGTTGATCAAACAAATCATCAATCCTTGGCAAGGGATATTTGTTTTTGATTGTCAGTTTATTCAGTTCACGATAATCTATACACATTCGCATAGATCCATATTTCTTCTCAACAAATAAGACCGGAGCACCCCAAGGTGAAGCGCTGGGTCGAATGAATCCTTTTTCAGTTAAATCTTTCAACTGAGGAACTAATTCCTTCAGTTCTGACGGAGCTATTCGGTACGGCGCCTTGGCTACTGGTGCTGCCCCCAGTATAAGATCGATTATGAATTCAATCACTCTGGCGGTAATCCAAACAAATCTTCTGGGTATTCTTTAACAATCGGAATTAATTCATGTTTTCCTTTTTCTTTCTTTAAATCAATAACATATGCCAGACATCCTTGACACTTCTTTTGAATATACTTTTGAGCTTTCGATACAGCTAAAAGATTGGTATGATGATTCCAACGATCACCATAGATAATAACTGTTCTCCTCTCTGGAAAAATGATTCTGATCATTTTCTTATTACAAACAATATTGGCTTGATACTTTGCCAGCTAGTCCATACCCACCACTACATCAAATTCCTTCATCGGCACAGGAAATAACCGTCGGTAGTTCACACCCCTCAATAACAATAATGCAGTTATTGAATACACTAGTAACAGATTCCTGACTATTAGCAGTATCAACTACTAATTCGTCATCAAGTAACACAGAATTCAAACATGCAATTTGAGCAAACGATGGTGAAACAAATGAAAAAGTTTGCACCAGAGTCAAATAACACCTTAACACATATAGAATTTAGAAGGAAGGTACCTGCTACTACATCTGGCGATGCCTCTGCCTCATTTTTCATCATCTGGAAGGATCGTCCCCGTGCCCCTCCTTGTCTTCCTTTTGTTATAGTAGATCTTCCTCGAGTACCCGACACGTTACTCCCCATTGTTAACTGTGGAGTTCTCAACAATGAACAGTTTGGTTGTATATGGTCCGGGGAATTGCAATTGAAACACGTTCATTTGGCTGGGCAACTCCTTGATAAATGGCCCATTTCGCCACACTTATAACATTTCCTTGGGTCCATTTTACATTCACCCAGATGAACCTGTCGGCATTGTGTACAAAATTTCTCACCGACCTTTTGTTCAGTTCTATTATCATATTTTACTGCTATTGGCCCCCGAAAGTTTGATGAAGGCCCTTCCCATCTTCTTTTCTCCATAACTTTACCCTCTGATTGCCGATTCTTATTTTGTTCTGTTACTTCGGCCGCATCCACAATTAATGAGAAGGTAATGGGGTTCATAGCAATTACAAATTCTCTGATCGAAGGTTTCAACCCCCAAATATACCTTTCCACCTTCCTAGATTCCGACGAAATATAATGTTCAGCAAACCGAGAGTATTCAATAAACTTCTCAGTATACTCTTGAACAGTTTCGTTTCCCTGTTCCAATTTCATAAAATCTTCTTCCATTTGTCGTACAGCCGTCTTAGGGCAAAACTGATCCTTGAATCGATTCACAAATTATGTCCAGGACAATGTCTATAAGATATCTGTTCTGGTCAACGATTCAACTTCCCACCAAAACAGAGCATTTAACTTTAATACTGAGACAGCAAGTCTAACTTTATCAATTTTCGGACACCGGATGATGTTAAACATAGATTCAATTTCCTTGATCTAGCACATGGCTTTTACTGGATCCCTCTCTCTAGAGAAAGTTGGCGGTTTGCATGCGAAGAACATCTTGATGTCTCCTTCCTTGTTATGAGTAACCGGAATAGAGGGATGTACTTCCACCCTTTTCGTTTCCACTCTAGCCGGTATTCCTATAATAGACGTTAAAGTTTCCCGTAACTTTCCCATTTCCTCTGCTAACATGTCTCTGGTTATAAACTCTAGGTGTAGCACTGATCTCTCCTGAACATTCCCAGAATGCGATTCTTCATGCTCAGAGTGTACTTTAGCCCGACCCCTTCCCTGTGACTGGCTTCTTCCTCTGCCTCTTCCCCTTAGTCTTCCCTGACCTCTATTTCCAAAAGTACTAGTTGAAAGATTAGCAGGTAATTCTTCTCTTTCCTCAGATTCATGGGCTAACCTTTCAGATCTCCTTGTTCGACTAGACATCTGCTGTTTTTAATGTTAATGATCATGTATTCACATTTCCAAATATAATGAATTATTCAAGTTCAGTTATGTACCTATAAATTCTTAATTACACTAGCCAGATATAATTAAAATTTACCTTACACACTGTTCTTTCAACTCATCATATTTATTTCCAATGGTGCTAACTATGTCCGGGACTCTTAACATGGAATGAAATAGTTTAAGTCTAGGTATCATGCTATTAAATACCTAAATCCCATAAACTTAGACTCTGATACCACTTTCTGTAACACCCCATACCACACATTGCATGTAACATATACTTCATACACAAGAAATACATGTTTATACACCAAATAAGTCCCTTAGTACAAGAATCTACCAGTACTGAATACATGATCCAGAAATTCAAAATACAAATCTTGTACTATTCCACATTCTTTTAACAAAACTATACATAACATAGTTAAATCTTCATGTAGATATGCATATAGTGAAATATCATATTTTCCCCTTTCTCTTATCATCTGCACCTCCTGCATTACATATTTAAAATCACAAAACGAGGGTTGGACGAAAGGTCTAGTGAGATCCCTTTTTATGCCATTGCATGGTGAAAATCACCAAAGCATTTATTTAAAAACAACGTTTCATATAAATAACAAATATATGAACAAATACATCATATTACCAATACCTTTACACTTTTCAATCCAAACTCTCTGCTTTCAGATAAAACATCAAAAACCCAAATAGGTTTGTACTAACCAGGTTTATTACAATGCCACTTTTAAACCTTTTTAATTAAACAAGGTTTATTCAAAATTCTAGGCCAAACGTGTTATTTCCTTAAAAACATTCAGACTAGGATTTCCAATAAGAACTCTGATTCTAAATCTTTAAATCACAAAGAAATAAAGATTCCAAATCACAGTAATCTTAAAGGATATAATAGTAGGAGTTATATAACACACATACAAATGTCACCCTTATATCCAAAGGTACACCTCTCCTTGATATGCCACCCTTATCCCGTGTACACCTTTCCTTGATATGCCACCCTTATCCCATGGTACACCTCTCCTTGATATATCACCCCTATTTTCTCATCAAAACATTTCACAAAACAATTCCAATTAGAACATACCACAGTCATAAATGTTCCAATGGAATATCATTAGTTTCAAAATCATCTTTATCAAATTTCCCATTCTTTTTACAAGATTATTAAAAATGACAATTGTATAAATAATACATAAGTCAATATACAAATCTGGTCAACACAGACTTGGCCGGACTTCATCTCTGGTCAAGCCTTGTCCGGTTTACTAATCCGGATAACACAACAACTTGTCTGATTTAACAATCCGGACAACATTCCCTTGAAGCCTTGTCCGATTTACCAATCCGGACAACTCTCAAAACCTTGTCCGATTTAAAATAAACTGGTCATATCTTAGTCATATTCCTACTTCTCCGTTCAATATCTTTAAGCGATTTATAAAACTCAAATCCTACTAACACTTAAATCACTTGACTCTGTGTCCGATTTAAATTTAAACCGCTCAACCCTTTGTCTGGTTTAACCTTAAACCGCTCAACACTCATCCGATTAAACTTAAACTTAAACCGGGGGAAAAGTTTTTAAAACACTATCAATTATGCAATTCAAAGAAATTCAAAACATTTTAACCACTCACCTTATTTGAAAACCAACTTCTCGAAAATCAACTTGATCTCCAGCCAAGAAATAATCCGGTCAATCTCTATTTCTTTAACTCGCCCAATCAAGGTCTCCAAATAACAAGAAGAATGCAATGGAGGCTTAACCTCCCTTTTTATACCCTTCCCAAATAGGAAGGCGGGTAACTCACATTCCCACATGCATGCATACATACACCATGCATATATGTTCATATATATACACACCCATTTCATGCACATATATCATGCATACATATAAATATATAACATATGCATTTCATATTATGCATATAATTCTTATGCATAAAAATTCACATACTAGCATGATCAAATATAACAATTTATCATGCTATCACGTAATCATTTAACATATATCCTTGTATTAATTATCTTAGGTGATAACTAGGATCCGGTTATCACATTATCCACCCCTCAACAGAATTATGTCCCATAATTCCTTTAATCAAAGAGCCACGGATACTATGATTTCAGTTTCGATTCCAATTCCCAAGTTGCTTCTGACCATTTGTGAAACTTCTACCGTACCCCAACCAAACTGATTTCTTTGTTTCTCAACACCCTGATTTTTCGATCAATCACGGCTTCTGGTGTTTCCACAAAGTTCAACTTATTGTCCAATTTAATCTCTGGGAGCGGTACAGCTAGACTCAGATCAACTAAACATTTCTGCAAGTTCGGTACATGGAAAGTATTATGAATCAGACTTAGTTCTTCTGGTAGCTCAAACTGATATGCTACTTGCCCAATTCGTTTACATATTCTGAACGGCCCAATAAACCTCAGACTAAGCTTACCTTTCTTTCCAAATCTGATAACACCTTTCCATGGAGAAACTTTTAACATCACAAAATCACCTACACAAAATTCAATCGGCTTTCGACGATTATCAACATAACTTTTTTGGCGGTCTTGTGTTGTTCTTATTCTTTCACGGATCTGTTCAATCTTCTCAGAAGTCTCTTGAACAATCTCAGGACCCATCAACTGCCTTTCTCCTACCTCGTTCCAACACAACGGTGTTCGACATTTACGTCCATACAAGACTTCATACGGTGCCGCTTGGATGCTGGAATGATAACTGTTATTGTATACAAACTCTAACAGTGGCAAATGATCTTCCTATGATCCCCCGAAGTCTATAGCACAACTTCTTAACATGTCTTCGAGATTCTGGATAGTCCTTTCACTCTGCCTGTCAGTTTGCGGATGATAGGCTGTGCTTAGTCGAATTTCAGACCCCAAAGCTTTCTGCAAACTTTTCCAGAATTTTGAAGTCAAACGATTATCTCTATCAGAGATAATAGATAGTGGAACACTGTGCCTGGTTACAATCTCTTTAATATAAACCTGAGCCAGCTTTCTAAAGAGTAACCCTCTTTTATAGGTAGAAAGTGCACAGATTTAGATAACCGATCCACAATTACCCATATCGCCTCATACCCCTTTGGATATCATATGGTAATTTCATGACGAAATCCATTGTAATGTGATCTCACTTCCATACAGGAAGTTCAAAGATTGAAGACTTCCATACGACTTTTGATGCTCAATCTTAACCTGTAGACATGTCATACACTATTCCACATATTTGGCTATGTCCCTCTTCAATGCGGGCCACCAATAAAAAGGTTTCAAATCCCTGCACATCTTATTGGTAACTGGATGAATAGAATATCGGGAATTATGGCTTTCATTTAGGATAACTTTCCGGATATCCCTAAAACACGGTACCCAAATTCGCCCTTGAAAGCACATAATTCCTTCATTGTTCGGTTCTAGAGTCGAAATCATCTTACCCAACCTTTTTGATTTGATAAAATCTTCTTTTTGATATCTCAGAATTTCTTTATGAATATCAAGGACTAAATTTATTCTCATTGCCACAGTTTTAATAGTCACACTCCTTCCCTTTCTACTTAATTGTTAGCTCAATTATTCATATTTTGTAAAAGTATAGAAAAAGTTTACTGCAAGTCTTGACAGAAGGTTAACTCCACAGAGGACTAACGACAGAAGCCGTTTGATCGATCAAGTTAAGAGTGGCAGAACCTCTGGTATGTCTCACAGAGGTTCTGGAAAATAGTCCTCTGTAATATAGAACATGCAAGTCAATTACAGCAGAGCCTCTGAGATGGCTCACAGAGGGTCTGCGGATTTCGTCTTCTGTGAAGTTTCTGTTCCATCAGTTTA